GGTGGCTTGGAAGACGTGGGTAATATTATCCATATTGCAACACGAACTGGAGGTAAGTAACAGTAATTTGTAGCTAGTTGGAACTACAGAACTTAAAGATCTCCCTCTTTTCATTTTAATTTTAATTTTATTTTTGCTGCAGATGAAATGGTTAAACCTCTGTTTTCGCGCAGGTGCAGTGAGGGGAAAAACACTGAGTTTAGGGCAATCGGTTCGTAGCTTTGCTTCTACTGTGCGATATAGTCACGAGGAGCGACCAAAATTTCTGACATGCCAGAAATTCATCCGACCATCGATTGTCGATCGTGAGAGGTTAATCGCCTCTCGTTTCTCCTGTACACTGCACGAACACTGCACGACAAACGACGCACGGCAAAGCTGAAAATCGGTCCGACACGAAAAAGAGTCGCACGAGTCAGATTCGGCTCAAAATCGGACGAAAATCGCACAGTGTATGCCCGCCTTTAGGGCGAGGGAATACCGTCGTTTTTAGTCAAAGAAACAAATAATAATCAGGAAGGCTTTTGAACGGTGGAGAGAACTCAATGAATTGAACATTTTTCAATCAGACGCCGAGGTTGCACTATTTCTTCTGGACAGGTGAGTCGCTTCTACTTCTTCTTTTATATGAGGCTGCGTGGGAAAATATAATTCTTTAAAAACACGTGAGCGAAGCTCGACTAAACTTAGCTCCAGCGAATATCAGATTGTCAGGATTTAGTGATATAAAATAATAATAATAAGTAATAATAATAATAAGCAGTTATAAATATTATTCCAGGTAGCTGTTGTGTTTTCCCCATTACGTTAGATCTGTAGCTATATGACTGATTCTGGTACGTTTTATCATACAGCTGCTTCCAGTGAAGCACCAGCAAAACAAGCCGTATGATACAACATGGCTCGACTGCAGATTTTATATTATTATACTTTGTAATCCAAAGCAGCCAAGTTCACATTTTACAGTTCACAGAATGAGACATCATTTGAGGCAGACCGTCAATCTGAAAAATAGTGTTTTGGCGCTTTAAGAAATACGCGTGCATGATCGTTTTTTTCATGATGCATGAAACGGGAGGGAGGGGCGAGCTAACTTGTTTTCGTTTGGGATCTTGCCTAAAACACAAACAGAAGTGACGTTACCCACAATCGCTCTTAGTACCAGTTTTTGAAATTGTTCCTCTATGTTAGCAGTAAATATAAGTTAAATAGTACATTACTATACTGTATTAATATAGTTGAGTATAGTATAATATAGTATATTTAAGTAAAAACCATGTAACTTACTGCTGAATTGAATAAAGTCTCAGACTGGTTAACTTCAACTTCAGCTTTGTCGACTGTGTATATTCAGGTTTCAGCAGTTCTTAGCTCAGACTTACACACACTGCTACTGTTTCTTTCGGACACATTTGATACGGAGAACCAATGAGCTGGAGATACTAAGCATGCGTGATAGTAATAAAACGAACACGAGTGAACTGAGGACTTGAATGGTGGGGTGAGTTTATTATTGCAAATTACTTTATTTTAATTATGTATTGTATATGTATTGTTTATCCACCTTGGAGATAGAAGTGACGTCATTACGTAAAAGAACTGGTGAACCGTTTTTTGTTTTTTTTTACCGTTTCGTGGAAAAGAACCGAACTTCCAGTCACTATCTCATTCCCGCCAATAGAAGGCACAGTCATTGTTCTCATGTATGAGGGGGAGATTGGTGATCTATTTAATTCTAGGTTGAACATTATTGAACATTATTAATTAATAGATTTTGTTTTAATTCAAATGTTTATGTATTTTTAATCATTATAACAGTTTACCTCTCTGTTACTGTTAAATCCTATTTTTTTTATCTTTCTTGAATTTCTTAATTACTTTTAATTACTAAATGGTTTAATCCAAATAGGAGGGGCTTGGCCTTTTTAAAAGGGCCTCTCAGAGTGCTTTAGGAGCTCTTAGAGAGTGTTGGACAGAGAGAGATTGCTGTATTTTATGTCAAATTATTGGCATAATTAAAAGCTTGTATGCATATAATAATTTATTTATTTATGTTTACTTAATTGATTTTCACTGCAACTACTGGTTATGGTGAAATGAAGCTTTGAGGCTTTCTCCTCAACTGTATCATAAAATGGTTCATTATTCAAAGTTTTCAACATTGTGCACACTAACAACAAAAGGTGGAAAAGTTGTCTTTGCTTTGTTAGGAGAAATGATTTTTTTTTTAAATGCTAAATGATGTAGTTTTTCTAATATGAACAGAACCTGAATTCCATCTTTCTGTTGCTCTAAATGGAAAAAGCTGATTGTCCCAAAGACTGTTTTATTCAATTTAACTCAACAGTCACCCTTAGAATTTCCTAGAATTCCCTAGAATTGTCCTTACAGAAAGTCAAACATTGTTTAAGATGTGGTGATGCAAGATCATTAATTAGGATAGTCATTTGAATGTTCATAGTCTGGTTTGCAAAAATAGATGTGGTTCACTTAAAACCAATGCTGATGTTTTTTTTGTTTGAAGTGAACATGGCTTAACAACTCTATTTCTGATAAGGATGTGTCTGTAGATGGGTTCAACTTATTCAGAACAGACCGAATAAAAAGGGTGGAGGTGTTGCAATGTATGTGGAAAAAAAGTCATTTGTTGTGAATCTGATTGTCTCAGTCAATAAGCAGATTTTTTGAGTTGTTGGCCCTTGACTTAGAAGTTTTCTAAGAGTCTTTCACATCACACTTGTTGGTTGTTCAGCCCTTCAGCTGATGGTGGCCTCTTTTTACACTTGAGGGAGTTATTAATAATTTAAATTAAATGAATTTGTTTTTTTAGGAGATCTTAACTGGAATTGGCTTTTGCCAATGTCTGATCATTTTGTGATTCTTTTTATCTTTCTCAGATTGTGAATGGCTACACTAGACCAAACCAAAAATATTCCATTATTTATCTTATTCTTACAAATGCTCCTCATAATACTCTACCACTGTTGTGCCTCTGTTTTTTTTTCAAATGACATTAGCGATCATTGTCTTATAGCATCAGTAAGGAACAAATAAAATCCCAAGGCCACTCATAATCTTTAAGAAGGTAATGAAGCAGGTCTCATTGCAAGGTTTTCTACTTGATCTGTATGATTTTGATTGGGGAAGAATTAGCCTTATTAATGAGAATGCTTGGACATTTTTTATGATGGTTTTACATGCCTGGTAAATAAGCATAAACACAGAGTAAAAGGATGAAATGATGTTTAATAATGAATTGTCTGACCTTCTTCAAGAGCGAAACCAAGCCTGGCTCAGGCTAGAAAGTCAAATCTTGAGTCTGACTAGTTGAAATTTCGGCGTTTATGTAATTTATCCACTGTAAAAATGGACTTCTCATCTCAATGGTTTCAATAATTTATTGCTGCTACCTCCCTTTATGTAACACTACATATCCAATTTCCAGCTCTCCCATTGGTTGTCTTGTTGATCAGTTACTGTCAGCACAACCATTTTATTTCAAGACAAAAACTGTATGAGAAAGTAAGGAAGGCCTTGAAGGATCTAGATCTGAAAAAAAAAAAATCATCAGGTTTNCAAATATTGCAATTATTTCACTTCGACTGTTGTAAAGTATGCAAACACCATGTGTGTGGTTACTACGGCGGAAACCAGAAAGTGTCCGACTTCACGCGCTCTGTTTGCAGCACCTCCTCACCACCAGTACGTGGCAACTCGACGATTGGTTACAATCAGCCGCACAGAGTAGGCAGCTGCAGTGAGGGGAGGAGTGAAAAAAGCGCAATCAAGCCGGACAGGTCTTGGTTCTCGCAGTGGATCAGACACCTGTGAGATCAAAGTCTGATATCGCGGGATTCACGCTCGTGCACGTGTTGCTAATAAACTGTATGTGATTTAAGTTCTGTTGCTTTTATGAAAATAAATGTAATGAACAAGACACCCAAAGTACTCTTTATTTAATTACATTCCAAATATGTTTTTACCAATCAATTTTTTTTCTTTAATACAGACGTGTTTTTATATATTGTTTTAATAAAAATGGCATACTAACCCATGTCAGAGAGAGATTATATTATATTATAAAATTAGATTACATTATAAAAGAGAACAATTCATCACTGTTATTTTTTTATTTTATTTTATTTTTTATTAATGCAAGTTACAAACATACAAGCACCACAGTTCGTGAAACAAATACAGCGACAAATAAATACACATCAGAATAAAATTAATTAAAAAAAATAATACATAGCTTAAATAGACAGATTTACAAACTTCATCATCTATAAAAAGAGTTTTCTAATTTTCACTTGAACATTTTAGAGTAGGCTATATTTGAGTTACTGACATCTTGAGAGACTCACAATATATCAGTTTAAATTTGAAAAAAAAAAAAATAATAATAATAATACAGTACATGGCCTTGATTTGGAGAATTTAGCTTTATGAATATGGAATTTACCTTCATCACTGTTGTTTAAACCAATGAGCATTAAGCTGTGTCGTCAGCAAGTCGTTTCTCATCGTGCTTTTGATCAGCGCAGTCGGTGGAGAGCAACTGCGCGCGACTGCAGAATCCGACAGGTGCGCCTTGCGCTCGCGAGAGTTTTTTTGACGTACATGACATCAGAGCCAGGCGGACCGCTCTCTCGGACACATTTCTAACCAGCATGCATCTAGCGCTAATCACTGGTGATCGGTTCTGCGCAGATTTTGTTCATCTCAAACAAGCCTTACATTTTTGGCGAGGCAAGGCGCATCTCAAACAAGCCTATTTTGGCGTTGATAATGTTGCCATAGAAACTAACAATCGTCTCATTGCAATTATTAAGATATGCATCGTGAACAAAGCGATCCATCCGCTCCTCAAACCCTGATCAAACACACCTGAACATAATCAAGGTCTTCAAGATTACAGGCAAGCAGCTGAGTTTCATCAGTGGTGGAGTTGATATCATTGATCTTTAAAAACGTGTGCGCTTTAAAACATTTCACTGCGTTTCCTGTGGGATTTAGCAGATGTTTTTGATGCAGCAACACAGGTTTTCGTTGTAGTTTTATGAGCTAGCTTCTTCCAGCTGAGTTCGTGAGGTCGCAGGTCAATGATGACAGCTCACGGTCACTGCTCGTTGAGTGCTGTTTTACTGTGTCTGTGTGCTTGTTTGAGCGCAAAAGACGCTGGACTCGCAGGTGAGACGATTTTTTTTAGCTTACAAAAACTGTTTGAATTAAGCAATGTACGGTGGCTGAGAAGTGCAAAATAAATCACAATTCCGAAAACGAGTAACCCATCCAAAAACACAAGGACAATTTTGAAAACAAAATATCAGACAAAAAAAAAAAAAAAAAAAAAAAGTATAAAGAGCCAAGTCCCTCCCTTCCGCCTTCATGGGGCCTTATTTTGGAAATGTAAAAATGTATAGTCATGGCGAGAGACAACTTTTCTCTTTATTCTGCCTGAACTGTTCCCTGAATTACACATGATGTTTGTCATAACAGGAGAGTAACATTTAGTTTTATGTGAAAATCTTGCAAAGAACTACATCTCCCAGGAAACAAAACAATGAGCAAGATAACCGTTGCTTATGTGTGCAGTGGTCCAAAACACTCAGGCATGGTGGTCTGCTTTAGAAAAATGAGAGATGTTAGCTTCAGTAAAGTCGGCTTCATTCATTGAGAGAAAATGTACAGCTTTAGGATTTGTAGTCTTTGTAATTATATATTTTCACAGTCCTATACTCTGATTTCACACAGCTGCTATTTTGAAATCAAAAGCAAGGTCCCGGTGGAAAGAAACCCAGAAGTAAAGAGAGGCTAAACACCAATGCCCAACCTGAAGCTGATGCTGCGATTTACACTAATTGTCCCTGCTTTTATTTATTTTCTGAAATATCTAATATACATGTATATATTTTTAATGAATTCATTTCACTGTATATTGTCTGAAGTATGGAAGAAATGTGCATTTTTAGAATAACTAACTAATTTCTACATTAAACACAAAAATACGCCATTGGCGAAAGGGTGATGTTTATGGTGCCTGGGTTGTCCGCATAGGCTGCTTTTTTTTTTTTTTTTTTTTTTTTTTTTTAAACAGTGTGTTTAGAGGACAGGAAGCTAGTGGATAGTGAGGAGATGTTTGCTGTATGTGACAAATGTTTGGGCCTAAAAAACGTGTGACATCGCTTAGAGCACCTTTAAAGTGTACTGTAAATATCAGAGCTGTATCGTATAGGCCTATGATAATTGTTTTGAAATGATGTGCTTGTCTGAGTTAACATTACCGAGTATGTCAAGTAAAGAAGCCTACGATCCATTTCCGCGAACCAGTTTAATGTTTCGGACAGTTTAATGAACCGGTTCAAAAACCAATTTATCGGTTCCTTATGTCATCGAGCAATTATGTATCAATGCATATTGTGCCGACCTGCCGACCAAGGCGTATTCTTCCGAGTTGCCATAAAAAAAGTAGTTAGTTTAGTAACGATCTCTGGCCAAACTATTTAAAAAGCAGGGTTATTCTGGATAGTCCATCTGGTGCGTGTACTGATGACGCAGTGAATGGTGATGATTCTCTCTGACCAAATGCCAGCAGTTGGCATTGTTTTCATGTGACCTTTTAGTATCGTATTCTCTTCACTTGATAAATTAAGGTTGAGCCTGTAGTCACTTGGACTATTTAAACAATGTTTTTACTAACTTTCTGGACTGGCAGGTTTCAATTACAATAGAAGCCTATGGAGGACTGAGACTGGGAGGACTCTCAGATTTAAAAAAAAAAAAAAAGAAAAATTGTGTTTGTACTCTAATAACTAACTAACATTATTCCAAGCAGCTAGTACCATTTGCAGTGACCATTGCAAGCCCAGCAAATAGTTCAATAAATCCACTTCAAATACGTTGAAATAAAAGATGAAAATCAACACTTTTATTCTGTGGTTTCCGATTTACAGAAGAAAATGTGAGCTGGTTGATGCACTTATTCTAGTTGCTAGTGAAATAAAAGATTACTAATAAAAGCAGCTACAAGCAGTTATCAGGTAAGAAATTCCGTTCGTTAGCACAGCTCAATATGTGTCACATAAGTTGACACATAAGTGCCACCTTGGGGTCAAAAGTTATATTCAAATTTACAAAAATGCTAATAACTATTAATTTAGCCTATTTTAATTAAACTGGTCTTGATAGATGACTTGGGTAATGGCGAGAACATTAATCTACCTAATGACATATTTGCTTGTTTGTATCCCAGCTTGAATGTTACATTGTTTCTTTTTGTGCTTTGCCCTAATATATTCAGACAAGTATTCAGCTGATAGCACAGTTTCAAGCATGGGAGGCTGTAGAAAATGAATAACATGTTTATTACTTCAAATTAGAGATCGACCGATAGTGGATTTTTACAGATAGGTTTGACCGTACATGCCGATAACGATTATTCACTTTTTTTTTTTTTCAGTGCTGAACAGAAATGAATAAATATATAAATGTGATTTTTTATTAAAATGAAAAAAAGTTCAACAGAATTTACACATTCAAATATTACAGGTCAAACGTGTTTCTTTAGCTGTAACCTAAAAACGCATGCAAGTTTCATGTAATACTTTGCAAGTCTCAGTAGTTAACAAGGATGTATTAGTTGGCTTTTATGAGCTTTATGCATTATACAATGTAGCTTATGTTTTTACTACATGTATGAATATTTGAGCTAGTCTACCTTGATAATTCCTGTTAGTTCATAGTACGTTAATGAAAATAATAACAGATTAAATAAATTTAAAATCGATTTAAAATGTATTTTTAAATGTTGAAGAAGTTAACAAACTAACAATGAAAAACACTTCTACAACATTTTAATGCTAAAAATGCAATATTATTCAAAAGTAACCATTTCATAAACCTCCAAAGAGTCATGCTTAAATATGGCCATATTAAATGTATGCAAATGCCAGAGAATTAAGATTACAGAAATGTAGACATTTAATGTATAGTCCCTCACTTTATTTGCTTCTATTTTAGAACACTTGATTAATTTTTAGTCAATCATTTGTATTGTAGTGATAAATGGAATAACTGAAATCGAATGATTCTGATTTGTGTGTTTCTGTCGGCTGCATGATCAACGAAAGCAATCAAGTCACTTGCTTTAAATATGCATCTTTGCCTGCTATTGAATGCATGAGTGACCATCTGATGACAACTATTGTAAATGGACAATTGTGGACATTTGGGTCCGGTTAATGTGTATTTGTCACATAGTTTTATTTGAGGTTTAATTTAAACATCCGTGAATACAAGATGTGTATACTGAATGATGATTGAACAGACTAATGCTGACCATCTGTATTTGTGCAGTGAAGCCTGATGCTGAACCTCAAGTGGAGCCTACTGCTGAACCTCCAGTGAAGCCTGTGGGTGTTCAGCCTGAGCCTCCTTTGCAGCCTGTTGGCGAACTGCCCGAAACTCCAGTGGAGCATGGCACCGAACTGAAGCCACCAGTGATGTCTGTTACTGAACTGCCTGTGCCTCCAGTAAAGCCTACCATCAAACTGCCTAAGCCTCCAGTGAAGCCTGCCACTGAATTGCCAAAGCCACCAGTGAAACCTGCTGCTGAACTGCGTGACCCTCCAATGAAGCCTAGCGTAAAACTGCCTGAGCCTCCAGTGAAGGCTTCCACTGCATTGTCCAAGCCACCAGTGATGCTGGCTTCTGAGCCTCCAGGGAAACCTGTTGGCGAACTGCCCAAGCCTCCAGTGACTCCTACCACAGAGCCTCAATTGAAGACTCTCAGCAAACAACCCAAGCCACCAGTGACACCTGCTTCTGAACTGCCTGAGCCTTCAGTGAAGCCTACTGTCAAACTGCCCAAACCTCCAGTGAAACCTGCCACTGAACTGGTAAAAGAACCAGTGACCCCTGCCATTGAGCCTCATGTGAATCCTGTCGGAGAACCACTCGGGCCTCCAGTAATGCCTGCCACCGAGCCTCCCATGAAGCCTGTTGGCGAACCCAAGCCTCCACTGAAGCCTGCCACTGAACTGCCCAAGCCACCAGTGACGCCTGCCGCCGAGCCTCCCATGAAGCCTATCAGCGAACTGGCCAAACCTCCAGTGACGCCTGCTGCTGAGCCTCCCTTGAAGACTGTTGGTGAACCCAAGCCTCCAGTGAGGCCTTCCACCGAACTGCTCGGGCCACCAGTGACGACTGCCACCGAACTTTCTCCAGTGAAGCTTGCCAGCGAACTGACCAAGCCTCCATTGAATCCTGCTTCTGAATTTCTCAAGCCACCAGTCACAGCTGCCGCTAAGCCTCCATTGAAACCTGTTGGCGAACTGTCCAAGCCATCATTGACTCCTTCCACTGAGCCTCCATTGAAGCCTGCCACTGAATTACCCAAGCCACCAGTCACAGCTGCCGCCAAACCTCCATTGAAACCTATTGGCGAACTGTCCAAGCCTTCATTGACTCCTGCCACTGAGCCTCCATTGAAGCCTCTCAGCGAACTACCCAAGCCACTGGTGACATCTGCTGCTGAACTGCCTGATCCTCCAGTGAAGCCTACCTCTGAACTTCCCAAGCCACCAGTGACTCCCACCCCAAAGCCTCCATTGAAGCCTCTCAGCGAACTACCCAAGCCACCGGTGAAAACTGCTGCTGAACTGCCTGAGCCTCCAGTGAAGCCTGCCAACGAACTGCCTAAGCCTCCATTGAAGCCTGCCACTGAAATACCCAAGCCACCAGTCACAGCTGCCACCAAGCCTCCATTGAAACCAGTTGGTGAACTGGCCAAGCCTCCGGTGACGCCTGCCGCTGAACTGCCTGCACCTCCAGTGAAGCCTACCTCTGAACTTCCCAAGCTACCAGTGACTCCTGCCACAAAGCCTCCATTGAAGCCTCTCAGTGAACTACCCAAGCCACCGGTGACATCTGCTGCTGAACTGCCTGAGCCTCCAGTGAAGCCTGCCAGCGAACTGCCCAAGCCTCCATTGAAGCCTGCCACTGAAATACCCAAGCCACCAGTCACAGCTGCCGCCAAGCCTCCATTGAAACCGGTTGGTGAACTGGCTGCATCTCTGGTGACGCCTGCCGCCGAGCCTCCCATGAAGCCTGTTGGGGAACCCAAGCCTCCACTGGATCCTGCCACTGAACTACCCAAGCCATCAGTGACACCTGCCGCCAAACCTCCCGTGAAGCCTGTCAGTGAACTGGCCAAACCTCCAGTGACGCCTACTGCTGAACTGCCCAAACCACTAGTGACACCTGCTGCTGAACTGCCTGAACCTCCAGTGAAGTCTGCCAGAGAACTTTCCGAGCCTCCGTTAAAGCCTGCAAATGAATTGCCCAAGCCACCAGTGATGCCTGCCGCCGAGCGTCCCATGAAGCCTGTCAGCGAACTGGCCAAACCTCCAGTGACGCCTACCGCTGAGCCTCCCTTGAAGCCTGTTGGTGAACCCAAGCCTCAAGTGAGGCCTTCCACCGAACTGCTCGGGCCACCAGTGACCACTGCCGCCGAACTTCCTCCAGTGAAGCTTGCCAGCGAACTGCCCAAGCATCCATTGAAGCCTGCTACTGGATTGCCCAAGCCACCAGTCACAGCTGCAGCCAAGCCTTCATTGAAACCTGTTGGCGAACTGTCCAAGCCTTCATTGACTCCTGCCACTGAGCCTCAATTGAAGCCTCTCAGAGAACTACCCAAGCCACCAGTGACACCTGCTGCTGAACTGCCTGCGCGTCCAGTGAAGCCTACCTCTGAACTTCCCAAGCCACCAGTGACTCCTGCCACTGAAATACCCAAGCCACCGGTCACAGCTGCCGCCAAGCCTCCATTTAAACCGGTTGGTGAACTGGCCAAGCCTCCAGTGATGCCTGCTACCGAGCCTCCGTTGAAACCTGTTGGTGAACTCTCCAAGCCTCTGACTCCTTCCACTGAGCCTCCAGTGAAGCCTACCATCAAACTGTCTGAACCTCCAGTGAAACCTGCCACTGAACTGACAAAAGAACCAGTGACCCCTGCCATTGAGCCTCATGGGAAGCGTGTTGGTGAACTGCCCAAGGCACCAGTGACAGCTGCGGCCAAGCCTCCATTGAAACCTGTTGGTGAACTACCCAAGCCACCAGTGACATCTGCTGCTGAACTGACCGCAGCTCCATTGAAGCACGCCACTGAACTGCCTTCACCGCTAGTGATGTCCGAGACTAAATTGCCCAAGCCAGCAGTGACTCCTGCCGCAGAGCCTCAATTGAAGCCTTTCGGTGAACCATCCAATCCACTAGTGACACCTGCCGCTGAACTGCCCAAGCCACGAGTGACTGCTGCCACCAAGCCTCCCGTTGAAGAACTGCCGGCACCTTCAGTGAAGCCTGCCACTGAACTTCCCAAGCCACCAGTAACACCTGCCGCCGAGCCTCCTGTGAAGCCTGTCAGGGAACTGGCCAAACCTCAAGTGACGCCTTCTGCTGTACTGGCCAAACCTCCAGTGGCGCCTTCTGCTGAACTGGCCAATCCTCCAGTGATGCCTTCTGCTGAACTGGCCAAACCTCCAGTGACGCCTTTTGCTGAACCGGCCAAACCTCCAGTGACGCCTTCTGCTAAACTGCCCAAGCCACCAGTGACACCTGCTGCTGAACTGCCTGCACCTGCAGTGAAGACTGCCACTGAACTGCCTGTGCCTCTAGTGAAGCCTGCCAATGAACTTCCCAAGCCACCAATGACTTCTGCTGCAGAGCCTCAATTAAAGCCTCTGGGTGAACTGCCCAAGCCACCAGTGACCACTGCCGCTGAACTGCCTGTGCCTCTAGTGAAGCCTGCCAATGAACTTCCCAAGCCACCAATGACTTCTGCTGCAGAGCCTCAATTAAAGCCTCTGGGTGAACTGCCCAAGCCACCAATGACCACTGCCGCTGAACTGCCTCCATTGAAGCCTGCCAGTGAACTGCCCGAGCCACCAGTGATGCCTACCGTCAAGCCTCCCATGAAACCTGTTTGTGAACTGCCCAAGACTGACGGCGAACCACCTCCAGTAACTCCTACCTCCGAGTGTCCAATGAAGCCTCTCTGTGAACTACCCAAGCCACCAGTGATACCTGCTGCTGAGCTGCCTGAAACTCCAGTGAAGCCTACCGTTAAAAAGCATGAACGTCTGGTGAAGCCTGCCACTGAACTGTCTAAGCCACCAGTGACGCCTGATGCCGAACTGCCCAAGCCACTAGTGACGCCTGCCACAGAGCCACCCATGAAGACTGTCGGTAAACTGCCCAAGCCACCAATTACCCCTGCCATGGAGCCTCCCCTGAAGCCTTTCAGTGAACCTGAGTCTTCAATGAAGCCTGTCACCAAATTGCTCAATGAAGCCATGAAGCCTGTCAGTGAACTCAAGCCACCAGTGACGCCTGCCGCTGAACTGCCTCCCATGAAGCCTTTCGGTGAACTCAAGCCACCAGTGAAGCCTGCCAGTGAACTACCTGAACCTCCAGTGACTCCTTCCACTGAGGCTCCATTAAAGTCTCTCAGCAAACTGCCCAAGCCACCAGTGCCTGAACTGCCTGAGCCTCCAGTGAAGCCTACCGTGAAACAGCCTGAACGTCTAGTGAAGCCTGCCACTGAACTGACTAAGCCACTAGTGATGCCTGCCACAGAGCCTCCCATGAAGCCTGTTGTTGAACTGCCCAAGCCACCAGTGACACCTGCTGATGAACTACCTGAGCCCCAAGTGAAGCCTACAGTCAAACTGGCTGAAACTGTAGTGAAGCCTGCCAGCGAACTGCCCAAGTCACCAGTGACTCCTGCCGCTGAGCCTCTCGTGACGCCTTTCAGCAAATCTGAGCTTCAAGTGAAGCCCATCACCAAACTTCCCAAGAAACCAGTGACGCCTTTAACAGAACCTCCCATGACGCCTGCCACAGAACCTCCTGTGAAGCCTATCGTTGAACTTCCCCAGCCACCAGTGAGACCTGCCGCTGAACTGCCTCCTTTGAAGTCTGCAGGCAAACTGCCCAAACCTTCAGTAAAGTCTGGCACCAATCTGCCCCAGCCTCCAGTGACACCTGCCACTGAGCCTCAATGGCAACCTGTTTGTGAACTGCCCAAGACATCAGTGACACCTATTTCTGTACTACCTGAGCCTCCAATGAATTCTGCTGGCCAGCCTCCAGTGAATCCTGCCAGCGAAACACCTGACTATCCTTTGAAGTCTGCTGATGAACTGCCCAAGCCTGCCAGTGTACTAAATGAGCCTCCCATGAAGTTTTTGAGCAAACTGCCGAAGCTTCTAGTGAAGCCTTTTGGAGAGCCTTCATTGAAGCCAGCCGCCGAGTTGCCACCAGTGACGCCTCCTGCCAAGCCTCCATTGAAGCCTATTGTCAAACTGCCTAAGCCACCAGTGAAGCCTGCCGCCAAGCCTCTAGTAAAGCCTGTCAGTGAACTGCCCAAGACTCCAGGGACGCTTGCCACCAAACCCCCTAAGCTCCCAGTAAAGCCTCCCCCCAAACCTTCAGTGAAATTTACTGCTGAACTGCCCAAGCCTGCAGTGATGTTTGCCACCATACTGCTCAAGCCTCCAGTGAAGCTTGCTGCTGAACACCCTAAGCCTCCAGTAATGCTTACTGCTGAACTACCTAAGCTTCCAGTGAAGTCTGCCCCCAAGCCTCCAGGGATGATTGCCACCATACTGCTCAAGCCTGCCCTGAAGCCTCCAGTGAAGCCTGCGCCCAAGCCTCCAGTGAAGCCTGCCCTCAGGCCTCCATTGAAGCTTGCTGTTGAACCACCCAAGCCTCCAGTGAAGCCTGCCCCCAAGCCTCCATTGAAGCTTGCTGTCGAACCACCCAAGCCCCCAGTGAAGCTGGCCACTGAACCACCCAAGCCTCCAGTGAAGCTGGCCACCGAACCTCTCCAGCCTCCAGTGAAGCTTGCTGCCAAATCCACCAAGCCTCCAGTGAAGCTGGGCACCGAACCTCCCAAGCCTCCAGTGAAGCAAACCCCCAAGCCTTCAATGAAACTGGCCACCGAATCCCCCAAGCCTCCAGTGAAGCTTGCTGCCAAATCCCCCAAGCCTCCAGTGAATCAGGGCACTGAACTTCCCAAGCCTCCATTGAAGCTGGCCACCAAACCACCCAAGCCTCCAGGGAAGCTGCCCACCGAATCCCCCAAGCCTCCAGTGAAGCTTGCTGCCAAATCCCCCAAGTCTCCAGTGAATCAGGGCAGTGAATTCCCCAAGCTTCCAGTGAAGCTTGCCACCAAATCCCCCAAGCCTCCAGTGAAGCCAACCCCCAAGCCTCCATTGAAGCTGGTCACCGAACCACCCAAACCTCCAATGGAGCTGGCCACCGAGGCTCCCCAGCCTCCAGTGAAGCTTGTTGCCAAATTCCCCAAGCCTCCAGGGAAGCTAGCCACCGAATCCCCCAAGCCTCTAGTGAAGCCAAACCCCAAGCCTCCAGTGAAGCTTGCCACAGAACTACTCAAACCTCCAGTGAAGCTGGCCACCGAACCTGCCAAGCCTCCAGTGAAGCTTGTTGCCAAATTCCCCAAGCCTCCAGGGAAACTGACCACCGAACCTCCCAAGCCTCCAGTGAAACTGACCACCAAATCCCCCAATCCTCCAGTGAATCAGGGCAGTAAACCTCCCAAGCCTCCAGTGAAGCTTGCCGCCAAACTTTTCAAGCCTCCACTGAAGACTGCACCTAATCCTCCAGAGAAGCTTGCTGCAGAAACACCCATGCCTCCAGTGAAGCTTGCTGCCAAATCCCCCAAGCATCCAGTCAAGCTGACCACCGAACCTCCCAAGCCTCCAGTGAAGCTGGCCACCGAACCGCCAAAACCTCCAGTGAAGCTGGTTGCCAAATTCCCCAAGCCTCCAGGGAAACTGACCACTGAATCCCCCAAGTCTCCAGTGAATCAGGGTAGTAAACCTCCCAAGCCTCCAGTGAATCTGGCCACCGAACTGCCAAAACCTGTATTGAAGCTTGCCGCCAAACTATTCATGCCTGCACCTAAGCCTCCACCTAAGCCTGCCCTCAAGCCTCCAGTGAAGCTGGCCACCCAATCCCCCAAGCCGCTATTGAAGCTTGCTGCCAAACTTTTCAAGCCTCCATTGAAGACTGCATCTAAGCCTCCAGAGAAGCTTGCTGCTGAAACACCCATGCCTCCAGTGAAGCTTGCTGCCAAATCCCCCAAGCCTCCAGTGAGGCTGGCCACCGAATCCCCCAAGCTTCCAGTGAATCAGGGCACCGAACCTCCCAAGCCTCCAGTGAAGCTGGTCACCGAACCGCCAAAACCTCCAGTGAAGCTTGTTGGCAAACCCCCCAAGCCTCTATTGAAGCTTGCCGCCAAACTATTCAAGCCTGCACATAAGCCTCCACTGAACACCCCACCCCCCCCCCCCCCCCAAGCATCCATTGAAGCTGGCCACCAAATCCCCCAAGCCTCCACTGAAGCCTGCCCCCAGTATAGCAGGCCACTAAACCCCCAAAGCATCCAGTGAAGCCTTCCTCCAAGCCTCCAGTGAAGCCTGCTGCCGAACCCCCCTAAGCCTCTATTATAGCTTGCTGCCAAAATTTTCAAGCCTCCATTGAAGACTGCTTCCAAGACTCCAGGGAAGCTTGAAGCTGAGCCGCACAAGTCTCCAGTGTATTTTAAGTTACAAGACAGTTTGTATTAATGGAGGAAAACAATGAAGAATCCATGCTATATATTTAGGACTTACCATTACTTTCACCTACAACTGCTGAGCTGTTATATTTACCATGGACTAAATGTCACAAAACCCCAGTTTTGTTTTCATGGGGTCTTTTAAAAGCACCATATAACCATAGACAAGCACAAATGAGAATATATACAGAATGAAACAACCTCATATGCAGAGATTTTGTGTCCTTGTTGTGTTTGTAAATTGAAAGTGGAATCAATCCCACGAGAGCTTTTGACTTCAGAGTGTTCCACAATCTCTCTATAGCCAATATAATCTCTCCATCCAAAATGCTTTCTTGTTCTAAAACAATTGGGTGTTGATGAGCTCAGGACCTTACTGAAAGTAAGGTGAACTCAATATGTGCTTTTGGTCTCCGTAAGTGTGTGTCCAGTGTACTTCAAATCACCCTTCACAGGATGACGCATACAGTAAAATGTCTCCTTCCTGTGAGAAAGCATTTGGTCACGTTCAATCACATTCAATAAAACAATGGTAACGGCATGCCATACTCATTGTTCAAACATCACACTGTAGCTCAAGAGAAACTGAATATAGCTAAAATGGGTCAATCATAATTTCCTTGAAGTTTTAAAATAAAAGCATTCATAATGTTAATCATTTCAAAAAGACCATTTACTGGAAGAAAGCTGCAAGAACTGTTTGTTTCAAAGTTTCTGACGTCATTTGGATGGAAATATTAACACGGCAGTCACATTTACACATCAAAAATGGCAAATCAATGTTTAGCTTAACTGTTTCAGTCTGACATTTTCATACAGATTGTTTTGTGAATGTAATCATTTGCAATGTAATTATCCTCCACACCAAAGAGCGCTTGGATTGAATTCAGCAAATTCATTTTAAAAGAGGAACAGAGAACCGTGATCAAGATTTTTGATGATTCAGTAGAGTGCAGAGGAATTCTTTCCTGGTTTGGTTCAAATGCCCCATAATCACAGCCCAATGGAGCAGTATCAGACAGACTCACATTCAAACTAGAATCTGAGTATGATGATGTCAGACTAGTAAAGAAGTCTCTCCTGAATTTGATTTGATCATAAATACAGTAGAAACACTACTATTGTTAAATTGTATTACAATTTAAATGAATTCTACTTTATTTGTTCTAAAATATAACTTATTTGTGTGATGGCAAAGCAAAATTAGTAGTCATTGCTCCAGTCTTTGTCACCATGAAACCGTGATATTCGTGAATACTTGCGCACTCTCTCTCTCTCTCTCTCTCTCTCTCTCTCTCTCTCTCTCTCTCTCTCTCTTTCTCTCTCTCTCTCTCTCTCTAAAAGAGCAGCATCTTTTTAAAGATGCCTCATTCCTGTGGCTCGTGCCAATTTTTTTTTTTTTTTACCGCCATTTCATCTGCGTTTCTTAAGGATCATGCAGCTCTCGTGCTCGCTGACGCCGGATGCCTTCATTGCAAGCTATTGCCCATGTTGACTCTAACGCCGGTTTCACACCGCAAGCGGCAGCAGCGTGTGAGCAGCGTGTATTTTTTTCGGCGTGCGTGTTAAGCTCCTTATTATGTAGCCAAATCTGTGCTGTTTTGTATTGGCCGCCTCCAGTTTTCACTTTGTTTTGCCTCCAGCTAGCGCCATGACGTAACTGTGACGTCGGCGCAAAAGGGGCTTCCAAGAACCATGTGACAGCAGTCGTGGCGACATCAAAGTGTGTCGCAACTCTCTCTCTATATGACTCTGGGTGAAAGGAAAAAAGACTGAAATCTCTCTCTTTTCATACAGATTACATCAACTAAGAATAGAGAGAATTACATCAACTCACACACACGGCTCTTACTAAACGTTTCTGAATGATAATTTGCTACATTTTTTTAACCTTATACACGTTTGTTTTACACAATAGCATCTGACTGGCAACAATAGCAACTGACTGGCTACTAATGTTAAACACAAACAGCGTTGGCAAGTTTACGTTCTTGATCAAATCGAAAATAACGTCATAAAGCATATATACATGAAAAATACATTTACAACATTGGTACTTATACAAAATTCAGGTCCATAATGTTTGTACGCGTTTGTCGTAGACACAAAATAGCATAACTAGTAGCCTAGTGGCTATGAAGCCAGCACTGGCATTTGAAAAAAATAAAAACACAAGGCTACGTCTGGAAATACATGCAAATACATTTAAAATGATGAAGTCTTAGCCTACTTACAGGTTGTGGCCCAACAGCTGCTGCCGTTGGTTTTAAAGTTGGAACTGCTTCATGTTTTAGTAACAGTTTCTTGTTGAATCCGGCATTGAGCTCGAGGAGATTCTGGAAGCTGTCTTCCGTAAAATGTGCAGCACAGAGAGCCAAATTATGATTGTCATTTTCAGGAACATAATCAAACATAAATCGTATCCATTGTTGATGAAGTACAGCGTCCGTGGGAAGCTCAAAGACAGAAGACCTGACAGCTGGGTGAACACAACACACTCGACGTGCCACAGAAATATGCGCATGCCCTTTTCTGCATATTCCGGAGGGAGGGTTGATGCAAATGTATGGGTTAGTGACGTATAAAACCCAGCTGTAGTATACTGTAATATACTTCCTGATTTTTAAAAGACGATATCTCTGCTTACACTGAACTTTCAGTGCTGCAACTTTGCAGATACTGTTCATGCACCAACAGCAACATTACACACTATTTAAAATAAAAAAAAGTGAAATCGCAATCAACCTTTTCTCCAGGTAAGTTTCTCCACTGCTGCAGCAGTGATGTCTTCTACCCAGTACCTCGCTATTCAGAATTTATATTCCTGTAAAAACCCTTAATTTACCCCTTTTCCACCGAAAAAAGAACTGGTTCGGAACTGGTGCTGGTTCAAAGTTGGTTCGGAGTTGGTTCAACTTGCGAACCCGTTAAGAACCTGTTTGTTTTTCCACTGACTAGAGCGCCCAGGGAACGACGACGTTACGTCACTGTGTACGTCGCTAGAAACGCTTGCAAGTACATTGCTTTGGGATTATCTCTCTAACTCGTGTACCAAGAAAACTTTAAAAACAATTGAATATGTAAGTCTTCTAATCTTTTCGTTTGATATGTAATCTTTTCTGATAAGTTATGTACCCCTGTCTTGTGTCTTTTTTCTTTTCATTTATTTGTTCTATATCGTACTGTTTTCTTCTTTGCTTATGTTTCAAATAAAAAAAATAAATAAATAAAAAACACTTGCGTGTTTCTGCAGTTTCTCCTGGCTTTGCGATGGTCAGAAAATATGTTTAGAACACATCTAAACCCGCCCCAGCCCCCGACGTAAACATGACGTGCTAAAAGAACGGTTCTAGTCCAGCAAAGAGTTGGTGCCACTTTGGAACCAGTTTTCCCGGCCGCGAACCGGTTCTTTGGCTGTCGAAACACAAAGAACTGGTTCGCGCGCAGGCACCGTCTCCGAACCGGCTCTCAAAATGCTTTGGTGGAAAAGGGGCTATTGATGATTTTCTCTATCCAGTGACGTTGCATACATCTGTTTCTTCTTTCTTCATCCAACGAGCATTGGTCTCCAAACGGATGTTGCATGCATCTATGTTTCTTCTTTCTCTGTCCAGTGAGCATTGGTCTCCCAGAGGACGTTGCATCCACCTATCTTTCCTATTTCTACATCCAGCCAGCATTAGTCCCGAGCGGATGTTGCATGCATCTATGTTTCTTTTTTTCTGTCCAGTAAGAATTGGTCTCCCAGCGAATGTACTAGGTACTTATTTCTACTCTCTCCAGTCCAGCAAGCATTGGTCTCCCAGCAGACGTACTATTCACTTATCTATACTCTCTCCCGAACAGTGAGCACTGGTCTCCCAGCAGACACAGCATGTATAAAAAATTCCGAGCTCTGAGCCCTCTCCCGGACAGCACGCCAAATACACATAATATCTGTTTAATTGATGTAAGTGTGAACTTGTGAAACACGATCACGCAGGCTTGAGCCCAGTTTACTAGATGACTCTATTCCTCAAAATGGTCTGTGTTTTCTCGCTGGTACAAAGCTTGAGGCTTTTCACCCCTGGACTGTGGGGCTGTGGAAGATATCTCCTTCCTTCGAGAGCTAATGGGTAAGGGCAGAACCCCATCCACTCTCAAGGTTTATGTGGCAGCCATAGTAGCGTTTGCTAAAACCAGCGACTGGCCAGTCACTGGGGAAGAATGATCTGGTCATCCACTTCCTAAAGGGAGCTAAGAGGCTGAATCCTCCCAGACCCCCTTCAGTCCCCATGTGGGATCTTTCGACGGTTTTGGAAGCCATGAAATGTGTCTCGTTCGAGCCAATCAAACATGAAACATTTGTCATTCAAGACGGTGTTTCTTATGGCTATTGCTTCAGTGAAGCGCATAGGGGATTTACAAGCGTTCTAAGTAATCGCGACGTTTATAGAATTTGGGCCAAATTAAAACTCGAAAATCATACTCAAACCAAGAAATGGGTATGTGTCTAAATCCCTCAACACACGGTTCAGGGTTCAGGTTATTTCCCTGTCTGCCCTGCCAGTTTACAACGACAGCTTCCATTGCCCAGTCTGGGCATTAAGAGCTCATCAGTCTCGGTCGTCTGTTTTCAGAATTACTGAGCAGCTTTTCGTTTCAGATGGATAGTTGATGCTATAGCACTGACCTACACTTCCGGATTACCTTGCAGAATATCTGTATGGCAGCAGGCTGGGCCTCCCCATCTACATTTATAAGGTTGCATAACCTACAGTAGTGGTTCCCACCTTACAGGCTAAACTACTTTTGGTCTAAAAATGAGTACGTTGCTTCGGCTCAGAATACTGA